ATTGTTCTATGATTCTATGATTCTATGTAATTGTAACAGCTCACTGCTTTTGTTCAGTAGTTTGGGTTCCCGTCTTTGGAAGTAAGAGTGCATGTTATCTACCTCACAGCTACATTGTGCCTATAATACCCTTTAATATTTCGTAGAGCAAATGATGGACGAGTTGTTGTTAGGGCAGAAGGTAGTTTTTGCAACAGACTGTCTCTCCTTGGGTAGATGTTGCTGCTCAGGCAGCTACAATCTGTTTCATGTTGGCTTTGTAACTCAGCAGTTCTTTATGTGGTTTTAAAGTAAAATACGAAGAAAAGTGGCAATGAGGCTGCAGTTTGGTTTTCAATTGCATGGTTTTCAGCAATAAGTCGTGGATATTTCCTCTTTGCACAACTAACTTCCATTGTTTACATGTGCATGTAGGTGATGAATATTTACTCATATATTATCCAGCTGTGACAGACTTTTCCAGTCATATGGACTTAAAGATAACAAAAATGGAATGTCTGACTTGTTCTCAATTTGTTATAACTCCATTCATACTGCCATGACTTTCTGACTATCATATGTTGTTCCTATATACATGTGTTCTTCTCAATAGGTTCTGTGGCAGTGGCTTTAAGTAAAATAATAATGGAAGTAGAATGACTCATTCAGTGATGCTTGCTTGTATGTGTTAGTTTTTTAAAATATTTATTTGCAAATCTAAATACTCCACTCAGGATTTGTACCCTTTCACTTACAATTTATTCAGCAACTCATTCTTTTACTTATATTACTTATTAGTCAAGTAGCTTTTTTCCTGGCTTGCTATAAATCTTGAAGAATGATAATTTGGGCTTGTTCATACTTAACATTAATTTAGAATCTTCTTTTTTATTATTTTTTCTAAGCACAGTGGTACTGTTACACACTTCACTTATCATGCTTTCAATTTTTTAGTCTGGAAATGCTGGACAAAGTAGAGCCACCTACGATTCCTGAAGGCTATGCCATGTCGGTGGCTTTTCACTGTTTACTGGATCTTGTCCGTGGTATCACGACTATGATTGAAGGAGAGTTGGGAGAAGCAGAAACCATCAGCCAAACCACAGCAGAGACAACTTCATTACCAGCACAGTCTTCAGAGGAGCAAGACTTGCAGTCTGTATCTGACCAATCAGAGAATGAATTAGGTATTCAAAAATGCAAGCACTATGTGAAATACAGCAGTTTTACATAAAGGGAGATTAAAATAGTTCAGGCTTTGTTGCTTAAATTTACTGTTTCTAAATTGTATATTGAAAAACTTCTATTGAAGTGAGGTTTTTTTGTAACAGAATAGCAATAATCTGTAAAAAACCCCAAAACTTGACTTCATCTGCTGTTTCTGTCCTATAGCATCATAGCCATATACTCCTTATGGTTTATTAATACCATTTTACATGTGTGGGGGGGGGATATGAGGGAGAGATAACAGTCATTCTGTTGTCCAAAACTACTGTTCTGCCTTCCTGTGCCCTTAATTCTGCTTAACACTGAGATCCACATTCACAGGGGGCAAGTGGAGGGAAATGTGACAGTTAGGACCACATTAAAAGAAAAACTCATTTTCAGTAACAGTATAAAAAGATGAAGGTTTTAACAGAGAGATTTTAAGTGAGATTGAAATGTTTAGCGAAGAACTTCTTTAGAAGCTGAACTAATACGAGCTGAGGCTTGTATTTGTGCAACATTCGAGGAGTCTGTAGCTGTGGGTGCAGAAGGAGGTGCCTCTGGAGCGATGAGCAGAGGTGGGAGTTCTGGAGTTTGGGATGGGGAAGGGGCTCTGCCCCCTGCGCTGCCCCCACCTAGGGAGGTGGAGGGGAGAACCTGGAGCTCTCCGTGGTGCTGCCGGACACACCAGCCCAGCCCAGGTGGGGGGTCTGCATGGCAATGACATGGGCTGATTACAGCTCTCTTAGATCTATGCTTTTCTTCCTGTTAAAGGCATGTAAAAATATGCAGAATTCTGAATACCTGGGGAGAGTATTTTGCCTTCACTGCAGAATTCCAGCGTCTTTTATTTCTACAGATGAAAATGAAAAATACTTCACATATAAACCTTTGTAGGATTTTTGGGGTGTAATTTCCAGTAAACATTGCCTTGGCAATGTTTTTTTACTTTAGCAACGTTACTTTAAATGGGACTGTTAAAGTGGTGCTTGTATGAATGTGTTTGTTTATCTACATATATGTGTCTGTGCAAACTATATATAAAAATACACCTTAAAAGATGCAGTAGAAAATATTTTGTTTGTCATGTAATTGAAAGCTATTAAGTAAAATATTGTGTTTCTGCTATAAACAAGTACATGTATTTCTTTCAAGTTAGCAGAGCTGTCTGGGAAGAAATGGTGAATGCTTGTTGGTGTGGTCTTCTAGCTGCTTTATCTCTTCTGCTTGATGCAAGGTATTTGGTCTTTCATTTCTCTTGATTTTTCAAAGATGACATTCAGACCTGTATTTTGAACTGACTTTTGATACTGATTGAGTTGACAGTTGTACAGGAGCGTGCTGTTCACGGCACCTGAGCAGACAGGTTTGTGGGTTAGTGATGCTAGACTGAGTGAGGACCTATTAAGAGTAAATTACACAGAAGAATCCAGAAGTCTAGCATCAACCTTTAATGTATTTCAATGTAGAACAATTGATTATGTTTTTAAAGGCTTGCATTTAAACTATTTAAATTATTTTTATCCCTTTTTACTTTGACCATTTCAACACTTTGCAGTGATTCCACCCATGTCCTGATTACTGCTGCTAAGACACCAAATAATTTCTCAGTGCTTGTTAGTACTATGCAGTCTTTGAAGTGGAAAGATTGTTTACTAGGTAATAACTTCAACTTAATTGTCTCTTTCAAAGAGTCTTTTGTTATCAAACATCATTTTCTGAAATTGCTGTTAAATACCTCCTCATAGTCTCCTTTGCCAAGTCATTCAGAACTGAAGATCAATTTTATAGGAAGTTTTTCTCAAGAATTTTGTGGATTAGTTATGCATCAGTATTTATACTGTTGACAGATATAAAGTATATGCTCACGTTGCTTTTTGGTTTGGTTAGCTGCCCACTTCTGTGCCATGAGTTAATTCTTACTAAATGATGTATACTCTTTCAGCACTGATGAAGCTGCCACTGAAAATATTCTAAAAGCAGAATTGACTATGGCTGCACTTTGCGGAAGGCTGAGTCTTGTAACATCAAGAGATGCCTTCATCACTGCCATTTGCAAAGGATCCTTGCCTCCTCACTACGCCCTTACTGTACTAAACAGCACAACTGCAGCGCTGTCCAGCAAATGTAAGTATATAGGTTTTCCTTAATTGTATTTCCATGTGTTGTTCTCTAAACTCAAATTCTCTTAGGATGTGATTGCAAAGATACGCAACTATAATATTTGACTGTGCTAAATTATGTTAGAATCCTCAGACAGTATCTAGACTGCCTGCTTTCCAGGCCTGGTTAGTCTTGCAGCATCTGCTGGATATTGTTCTAGTTAGTCTAAAACTTCCTGTATATCAGAAGTTCATATTCTGAGGAGATCTGTCTATCACCCTAAAGATCTGTTAGGATATGTGATTAAGTCATTCCAGTTCTCCAAAGTCTCTAGGCAACTCAGATACTTAAGAATTGGCTAGAACATCCTGCATTTGAGATGTACTACAGTCCTGGCTGGTGATGGTAGTACTTATTGCATAAATGGAAGATCTTAAGTTCTGGCTCTGTTCAGCTTACAAAAAGTTGAATTGATGCTTCCCATCCTGAGAGAATATTGTAATTCATGGGAGAATATGCAGATGGATCCAACATTAGACCTCTTAATATGAACAAAAATACCTTAGGCTGAGAACAAGAACCAGCGCCTTTATTGCAGCCCACAGCTAAGTGTGTTTTTAAATTATAATCCTGTAAAGTAGTATGTGTGACTGAGTTACACTAATCTCTATGGAAATAAAGCAGTGAAGTTATTTTATATAGGTTACTCTTCTTTTTACAGGAGAGTTATAAGATGGGTGTCCGGAACGCCTGTACTGAAGAAACATCATGACATAGCATTTATGACATCTTCATTTTCTGAGTGCAGTAGCACAATGGTAGCACACAGGGATTCAATTTGCACACAGTTACCACAGATAACTGAGTTGAGACTGTCTAATGCTCCTATCTTAATATAAATATTTTAGTCTTGACATCAAATGTATTAATGTATTGCAAGCAATATCAGATAGATAGTTAGAAGGAGTAATTACTGGCTTCTTTAACTCCTTGAGGCAATGACATGATAATCCAAATATAACCAAAGGTCTCAAAGTGAACTACCTTAAAGCTAATACCATGAAAAAATTCTCTGGAGTGTTTGCCAGAAGGTAGTTGTTACTGCAAGTAAGTGCTGGCTTTTAAATTTACATTTATTCCTTTTCAATTTTCCTCTAGCTTATTCTATTCAGGGACAGAATGTTCAAATGATCAGTCCCTCAAGTGAATCTCATCAGCAAGTTGTTGCAGTAGGACAACCCTTAGCTCTTCAGCCACAGGGAACAGTAATGGTAAGTACAGCTTGGAAGTCATCTCACCCTGCTTAACTGCTTCTTTCTGCATCTCAACTTGTCTCAAAAATAGGCAGCAGATAAACAGCATTCTGACATATAATGGGTATCTGAAATATTTTCCTAAGCTTTTAATTTGGAACAGCCCTGGAGAGCAAGGTTCTCTAACTGTAAAGAAGACTTACTCTTGTTTTTTCATCTGTCTCTTAGCTCAGCAGCTCCCATCCCTTCTGTTTGAAAAACCCTAGGTCTCAGCTCCGTTATGTGCTTTTGGGTGAAGGTTCACTTATATGTTGGTTTTGTTAAGACAGACTCTGATTTTTTGAAGATGCACTTAAAACTGGAGTACTTGAACTTGTGTCTTTGATAATAATGTGAAACTGGGAGGAGAGGGCAGTGATTGAATTATATTCAACTCCAGCAAGATAAGACTGAGAGAAGAGGAAGAGATACTGTAAAAAAGATACATTACACCGGTGCAAACCAGCCATAATCTTTAAGCTGTTTAGTGAAAAATTGTAAGATTCCTAGAAGCACTGTTATTGTAGAATGATAAAAATCATGTGATTGTTTGCTTTTATTTTTAGCTGACTTCAAAAAATATCCAGTGTATGAGGACATTACTCAACTTAGCTCACTGCCATGGAGCAGTTCTTGGTACATCGTGGCAACTTGTCCTGGCTACTCTCCAGGTATGAGAGGAAATACTTATGGCCTGCTTTTTTTGCCATAATTAGGTTTGGAATTTTTATTTAAGCAATAGAAGCAGCTTTGATTTTGCTCACAGTGTACTTTGAGTTGCCTTGAATAAGTACCGTAGCGTTTGCCTTGAGTTCTGTTTGGCTGGCTGGCTACTGGCTAGTTTGAGTATGTTCATTTCCTCTTTGCCTGAAAAGCCTTTTCTGCTGAAAGTGATGCTTTTGTATTTCAGCATCTTGTGTGGATTCTGGGACTGAAGCCTGGTGTTGGGGGTGCATTAAAACCTGGAAGAGCTGTAGAAGGGCCCAGCACGGTAAGCATGAATGTTTGTTTTACAGTTAATAATTGTGCAGTATTTTCTATTGCAATCTGCAAGACACACTTCTGCCTCTTTTTAAGGTTCTGACTACAGCAGTTATGACTGATCTGCCAGTTATATCCAACATTCTTTCAAGGCTTTTTGAAAGCTCACAGTAAGTAGACCTTATCTTATGATGAAAATAATGTATGTATATCAAACTTGGCAGTGTTTTGATAGCTGTTGTTTTTCAGGTACCTTGATGATGTGTCTTTACATCACTTAATAAACGCCCTTTGCTCCTTGTCTCTGGAAGCCATGGATATGGCCTATGGAAACAACAAGGTATAAAAAAAAGTTCTTTATTTTCTTTTTAGATGTTTTTGTGAAACAGGCAGAAGACCTGTCAGCTAAAATGTTAAGATAGTAAAAATTTTAGAGTAAAAAAAAAACCAACCAAAAAAACCCCCAAACCAGAGAATGTCATATTTATAATAATTCATATGGTTACTAAATTCTCTGAGCATTCTAATTGTCTTCCTGGTGGGTTTTTTGTTAACTAAGGAATGTCATGTATTTCCATTCGTCAGATTGTGAGTGGATAAAACTTTAAGAAGCCCTTGTCATTTCAGAGGTTAGGGATTCAGAATAGCACAGTATGTTCTGTGAGGTGCTCATTTTCATGTGAATTTTCTTTCATAATATACTTCAGAAAAAGTCTGACAACTTTAAACCTCCCATTAATTCATATTTACTTGGGAAAATGATGCTATTCCTTTCAGCCTCAGTGAACAACCTTTAGCCCAGAAAGGTTAAAGGCTCTGTGTTCAAGTATGTCCTCCTAGTCATAAACTAAGCCCAGAGAAGTATTTCTGAAAGTTTTTTAATTCATCTATTACAGTAGAGGTAATGATGACAGAAAATATGCTTTATAATATTTGATAATTACAGCAACAAAGAATGAATTAAAATAAGCAGAGTTTGTATTTAAAATCAGTTGAAAATGCTAACAAAATAATAAGCAGAAATGGGAGCAGGGAATAATTTCAGCGCAGCAGTCGTTTTGACTATATGTTGATCAAAAAAAAAAATGAAGTTTATCACAAATGTTTCCATATATATGTGATGAACGGGAAATTTATCAGGGCATTTATGAAGGTGATGGAGGATAAAGCATTAAGAGATTCTTAAATAAAATATTCACTATTGTTTGTTCGCACATAAGTTTAACTTTAGATGTTGTGATGGGGAAAAAGGCTATTTTGCTAGTAAAATATGTTATAAAACTGGACAGGGGGAGGACTATGAAAAAATGAGAGTTTTGAAAGGAATTTCGATGCTCTGGTTATTGTCAAACCTGGAGAAAACTATATAAAGAAATATGCAGTTTTCTTCAGGGTATGCTGTTGCTACCCCCTTGTGGCTTCTCAGGAAGTCCTGCAGGTGCTGTGGGAACTTCCAGCCGTGGCACTGAAGCTTGTTGTGACGGCGTTCACAGCCCGCAAAACACGGTGCTGCAATGAGATTCGTTGTTGCACTTTAGTTTGTGAATTACAGTGTAGCAAAAGGCTCTGATGTTATCCGAGTTACCTCAAAGTCACGTGTTCAAATTCCATTTTATTAAGGAACCATCGCTTTTTGCTGTTGCTAAATTACTGGAAACAGGACTAGTTAACATGCACAGGATTGAGATTCTTTGGAGACCTCTAACTGGTCATCTTCTGGAGGTAACTAATTGCTTTTATCAGTTGTACTAGAACTTGGTTTATATTAATAATTATCTTGTGGAAATGCATTTTTTAAGTGTAATTAATAAATAAATCTAAATTCTATTTACATGTTTACACTTTGTTTTTGCAACCTGGATGCATCACAATTTGAATTTAAAAGTGAATGTGTGTATTTAAGTTCTGGTATTTTAATATCTCTTACTAACTTTGTCTTTATGGTACCATCAGTCTTTATACGTTTTAAATGTGGCAATATTTAAAATGATCAGCTTATCATGCTTCATATATGTGTTGTAATTAAGGTAACATCAACAGACTTCACTTTGAATTCACGTAGTACAAATATCTAGGAAGATTTTAACGTACTTTTTTTTTTTGTCTTTACCAGATAGGTTTACTAATAAAGGCTTTATTTGGTTTTAAAATGTTTAAGCTAACATTTTGAATTATCTCATTAAGAGAATACTGTACTAGTATAAAAATAGGTGTCATAATCTTATTTTAGTTTCTTAAGTGTTCTAACTTCAACATGAAAAATATAATCTACCAGGGAAAAAATTAAATCTTACATTTTGAATTTGAAACTAAAACCAGGTGATGGAATGTAACTGTAAAGTTTTAATTCTCTACACAGATATGCATAAGAGAGAAATGCAAGAACAGGGTTCAATTTAAAGTGGATAAAGGAGAAAGTTTTCTTCCTCATTTTCCGGAAAGTATCAGGCACTTCTTTAGAAAACGTGCTTTATCTCAAACGGTATTAAGGATTGGCCATCTCTAACTTTATTTATGGAGATATCTCCTCCTAGTCTTTTTATCGAGAAGAAGGAACCTGGATACTTAGGTGTTTAAAGACTTAAAGCACACAGGCATCTCTTTCTCTGGTCTTTTTTTTCCCCTCTGAGACAATAGAATCATAGAATGTTCGTGTTGGAAGGGACCTAGAAAGATCATCCAGTCCAACCCCCCTGCCAGAGCAGGATCCCCTAGGGCAGCCACACAGGAACGTGTCCAGGTGGGTTTTGAAAGTCTCCAGAGAAGGAGACTCCACAACCTCTCTGGGCAGCCTGTGCCAGTGCTCTGTCACCCTCACAGAGGGTGACTCACAGAGAGTTTTTCCTCATCTTGAGATGGAACTTCCTATGTTCTAACTTAAACCCATTATTCCTTGTTCTATTACTGGGCATCACTGAGAAGGGATTGTCTCGTTCCCCCTGACACCCACCCCTCAGATATTTATATACGTTAATAAAGTCCCCTCTCAGCCGTCTCCTTTCAAGGCTGAACAGCCCCAGTTCTCTCAGTCTCTCTTCACGGGAGAGATGTTCAATAAGGTTCACCATCCAGATCTTGAAACTCTGTGTTTAAGCAGTCTGTTTCAGTCTGTGTTCCTTTGTGGTTATTTGCCACTTCTTTGTAGGAAATATACAGTCGATTTCAATTTCTTTTGAAGTACTGCCTTATTTCATTTTGAACTAAGTTGTCGAGATGCAATAACCAAGGAGAAAACACCGGCTGCAAATTCAATTAAGCACAACCTGAGGGAAGAATTTGTTCACTGTCTCTGGAACTGATTATCTGGTCAGATTCAGAGCATCATGAAGGTAGTTCAAATTCTCTCTTCTTTTATCTAAGATTTCAAAAATACGGGTGTTTCAGGAGAGTAGCTATTTCTTGTCTGCATTTTTTAACATTCAGCTAGCTCTATCTGGATTGTCCTCCATTTCAGTTTGACTAGTGGCTGGTAAGGGAATGGTCCACCAACCCAAACCATCAGCCTTCATTATGATTGTGCCTTGGACTTTGATTTTGAGTTCTCATACCACCTGAGCTAGGGCTGGAAGGGTGGGTGGAAATAATTATGTAGTGGTCCATGATACTGTACACTTACCTTATTTTTATTAACTGCTACGATTTTCATAATGTTTCCTTCTGTGTCTTTCACTGCTTCCTATTGCTTCCTTATTCAGAAGGTATGTCTGTCCAAAAGCTATTTTTTTTACTATTAAACCTAATTTTATAATCTAGATATTTATTGTATTGTTGTACCAAAAATATAATGTATGTAAATTCAAATGTAGTTAAAATAATATTAAAAAATATTACATATACTCAAATCTTGGTTAAATAAAAGTGACTTTAAACAAAACATTGCTGTGTTTTCAGGTCTGTCAGCATCCAAACTCCAGAATGAGAGAATGGGGAGCAGAAGCTTTAACATCTCTCATTAAAGCGGGACTGACATTCAGCCATGATCCTCCATTATCTCAAAATCAGGTAAAGTTAAGAGCAGCTGCTTTCCTCCTTTTTTCCTGAAACTTGAAAGGAACACTAAATTAAAAGCTTCCTTAGAGGAAGTTTTCTACAGTTCAACGAATAGGAGGCACTTGTAAAGCCACTTTTACTATTGAGTTAATAAAGCCTACAGCTGTAACTATTCTGATGACTTGCCCTCCTTCCTTCTTCAAATGCGTCACAGAGGGAGGCAATGCTTGCATATTAGGTCCCTTTGTTTAGAAGAAATTATGGATCGTCCTCCTAAGTGCAAAACAATTCCAGAATGTTTAGAAGTATGTGTGTGATGTGGTAGCAGGTAAAAAATAAATTACCTAACCTTCAAAATCACAGCTATTCAATCAGTTATTAATAACATTCTAACATTTTTACTGAGGTTGAGTGGATAGTTGTGTCAGGGTCTCTTTAGTCCTGTTGGGTGAGCATAAAGTTGCATGATGTTTTTTATGCACCTGTGACCACATGCTGTAGCTACTTGCTGAGGGACCTGAAGAATGGTAGAAGCCAAGTGTACCTTT